AGGAATGGGGCGTCCACAACCTCTCTGGGCAGCCTGTTCCAGCACCTCACCACTCCCATAGTAAAGAACTTAAGATTGCCTAGCTTTAGTTTTTATGAAATTTACTTTCTGTAGCAGATAGTATAAGATGCTGATGAATAAAATAATTCAAAAAAAAAAAAAAAAAAAAAAAAGAAGAAAGAAAAATTTGACAGGAGGCTGAAAACTAGTAAGCACTGTCCAGTGCATTATTTTTGGCTAAATGAATGTGCAGGGCATGCTCCTTAGAAAAAGTGTCACTGTGTGAATTTGGATTCATAAAAACAAAGCAGACGATTAGCAAGAAAGCAAAAATAGTTCCTATCTCACTCCAATTTATAGGAGGGAGAGGAGGTTCTTTTATTATCTATATACCCGGCGTGAGATTAAAAAGCAACGGTTCAAATGTTGGTCTGACCAGTTTATTACAAATCTTAATCAGGGAAATGGGGAAGGGGAGGATGGACACTATTATGATTAGGGTAATGGAGAAGGGAAGGAGGGCGATAGAAAAGATAGAAGAGAAGAAGCAAGGAGGCTTTATAGGCAGCAAGAGGGAGATAGTCACCACCATGGATCCAGTGAGGTTCGTAGTCTTTGATCCTCAGTAGTGGTGGGTCGTCAAGCAGAGTTGATCAATTGACGAAGACAACGAAGGACGACGACGACGGCCCTTTTTCAATAGTTTCATAGCAGTTGAGTTAGCTGCCTTTTGAGTGGCAGCTCAAACCCAAGGTGGTTGAGTCAGTTCTCCTTGCGGTGGCAGCTTCTGGCCCTGGGACCTCAGCAGGAAATTCCTTTGTTCTTATCTTTCTGGCCTTGCCAGCAGATAAGAGGAAGCAGGGAGGCACCAACTTGTATCTTGCCTTTGCAGGATACAATGGTATCATCCCCCAGCCTCCCATAGCAAATAGGAGTTATTTGGTCACAGGCTAGGTCTTCCGCTAGTAAACAGTCCTGAGCAGTATCTTCCGAAGGCAAACAGCTCCAAAGATGTAAAATTGTCCACACAGTGATGTTGATTGCCACACAACACCCATCACTTGCCTCCTCAACAAACTACCTCAGGAAGCAAGCTTTGAGCCAAAAAAACAAAGAAGGATTCTCACAGTTCCCAAATTTTGAATTAAACCTAAATTGAATCTGAAATAAACCGAAAAAACTTTTTAAAACTTCTATTGGCCTAAACTTTGTTGCTATCTTTTAGCTCTGAAGGACATTCAAACCTTATTAAGATACCACACTGAATGAATCCAAAGTTTAATTTAAGACTTGTGAAACAAATTTCATTTCTTTGCCTATGGATGCTTGTTTTGTTGTAGGTTGGCTCTGACTTTAAGCAAGGCTTAAACTCTGACTGAAGCTTTTCTTATGCTTGGGGCATCTTTACAAGGCCCTGTCCCATGTGTATTCCCTGGTGCATTCTAAGATTTATGCTTATGTTTATTTTCCCTGTAACTGTGGTGTCTGTAAGACATCTCACACATTCAGCCTCCTATTTGCATGAACTTTAATTACCTGTGAGGCTTCAGGCTCTTCTGTTGTTCTGGTTAATGAGCTCAGAAGTTATTGGCAGTGCAACATACAGACATACGCAAGGTTACTAACATCACCTAAGTTTCATTTCAGTGGGAAAGCAGCTTAAAAGCAGAACACTTAATTGTAAAACAGATGGATGGATCATTTACTATGAGAAAGGCATGAAGGTCAATTTGAACAGACCGGTTTAAAGGGATGATTTCAAAGAGAAAAAGAGCACTTGAGAGCAGAGTTTGAAGCAAAATATTTTGTACTGAGCAGAAAGCATGAGGTAATAGATATGAAACAGGGAGTGAAAATGGAGGAAGGGGATGTCATATGGGAGTCTTGAAGATGCCTGAACAGAAGAAACACGATAGTGCAAATGGAACTATGGAGCATCTGTCTGCCTCAGGTGATGCACCAACCATAGAAATATATTCTCTACATCAGGAGCTGGTGGGCTGACCCCCACCACATCTCTATGGCTTTGGATCAGCAGGTAAGTGAGCAGAAGACACAAAGAGGGACTATCTGTTCTTGAACAGTAGAGCTGACTGATACCTCCACATCTCCTTTTATGTGGAGGACTAAAAGAGACCGAACTCAGAGATTTCTTTTTTGGTGTTGTGAGATTTTTTATTTTCCTAAGGAAATGAATTATTTTATTTATTTTTTTCCTATGAAGCTAATAATTCTTTCCTCATTCTTTTCTTTCAAAATCTTTGGTAGAGAAAACAACAAAAAAGCAAAACCTAACATGTATTTATCATTTTCACTTCCAACATTACAGAAAATCTGAGGTATAAAAGCAGATTTTCCCAATCTTTTCCCTGATAAAAAAAATTATTATAAATTCCAAAGTTTATATGGGGATGACACCCATCCAAACTCATCTAACCTTTCTATATGAGAATTCTGGCTACTCAAGTATGTAGATTACTCCAAAAATAATATTTCCCATTTATTTCCTATCTGTAGGAATCTATAACAGATGCATAATAATACTACCTGATAGAACAAATTCTTGGATACAAAACACTGTCTTTCAATGTACTGACCTCCATTAGCTATGTGTCTTGTACATAGCTAGTGTATCTTGTATGTATACCAGTGATGAACAAGAGCTTACATGCCACGCTCATGAAAATCTGCACCAGAGGAGAGCACCCACTGTTTCATGGCTTCTACGATGACATTGTTACTAGGAAAATGTTGTCCACACAGTCCATCTTTCACTGGCATGAACAGATGGAAATCAAAAGGTGCCAAACCTGGACCATGCATTGACTGTAGTAGGACAGTCCAGCCAACATTAGCACTGTGCTCCAGAGTCTTCCATCTGATATGGGTCCTGATGTCATTGTGTTGCAGGATAAGGATTGTCTTCTTCTCTGGTCTAACTTTGGAAGTGTGAGCCTTCAGCTAAGGTGGCATCATGATGTAGTGGTCAGAGTGGATGGTTAGTCGAAGTTCTAGAAAAGCCAGAAAGATCACCCATTTTCTATCTTAAAAGACAGTGCACATCACTTTACCCACTGAGGGCTGTGTCTTTAACGTTTTATTTGATGGGGAATTCACATGTTGCCACACATGGACTGCCGTTTTGACTCTGGCTGGTAGTGGTGACATCATGTCTCATCACCAGAGATAGGAAACGGTCACCCTCAGCATCATATTATTTGAATAGATCCTGGTAAACTTGCATATGGTGTTCTTTCTGTTGAGTGTTCATGGGACCCACCTGAAACAAGCTTTGCAATGCTCTAACATTGTTATTAGTGTATCCAACTCAGTGAGGCTGATATTCATCTTTGTACAAAGCTACCAAAATAATAATAATTTTTAAAAGTGGGTCAAGATAATAAAATAGATAACATTACTTTCAGAGCTGCCCTTCTTTAATAAACTTGAAAATTAAAATCTGAATTCTTGATTCTCATCAATAGAAGACAATCTTGACATACACATGATACCCACACACGATGATGATTATGACAACATTTTTTTCACCTCTAGAAATACATGTCCTTAATCAGGCTTGTGTAAGTATAGCATCAAGGCAAGCACTATCATGCCAAGAACCATGTATCAATAGAAAAAGAAGTGGGATGATGACAACATGATTTCAAGACTTATTTTCACTGCAGTCTACGTATGATATGAACACAGAGGAAGCAGTTAGTCTGCATTTAAATAGTTAATTACAGATATTAATGTCTACTCAGCTGCATTAGAAAAATAAATGTAATGGCTTTTCCTGCCAGGAGGGTGCTTCACATAATGGATTGCTTTGCTGATGTGACTAAATACCTTTCTGATATTGATCCAGACAGAGGAGGAGAGAAAACCTAAGAAAACTCTTGAAGGTAATATAAAGCAGCCAGGGAGACAGATCAGGGTTGTGGCAGCAAGAACAGAATTTATGCATTCAGAATTGATGCAAAAAGCACATCTGAAATTGCCAAGTCTTTCCAGGAAGAGCCGACAGGCAGACAGAAGAACTGTTTCTTCATCTTGTATGTGTCCTCAGCTCCACGTGTCCTGGAACAGATAGTTGATTCCTCACATGCTGTGACCAAGGGAAGGTCTCCTCTTTTATTCAGATCTTTGGAGTATATTTTAGTAATCCCTCACCTGGAAATGCTTGCTGTTAGGGGGTGCTAACCCTCTGGAACATGTCTGCAGAAAAGGAAACTCCAGTCTGGATACAGCCACCCTTGCTCATTATATCCCCACCTGCATCCCAGGTAAGTTTGCTCTTGGGCCTGTTGACATGTTGACATGTGGTGGACTTCATTCAGTTATGCTGGCTTCTGCAGTGCAGTAGATTTTCAGGTTTTTGCATCTCCAAAATATGTGAGTGCATTTTTATACTCTAAAACTCTTTGGTCTTATTAACTTGGTCTTCATTTATTCCAAGGAAGCTTATGGCTACTTGATAAGAAGTCTACCCTGTGGTCATGTAAGGCTGTTGTAGACTTCAACAATCTTTATTATTTCAGCACATATTTAATATCCCTAAAAACTCCGTGGCCAGTGAATAAAATAATTACAAGAGAGCTGGAGTGGGAAACACTTAGATCCAGTTCTGGGAACACTGCTTTTTTGTTTGTTTGTTTGTTTTGTTGGTTTTTTGTTGTTTGTTTGTTTGTTTTGATTATTGTGTTTTTTGTTGTGTTTTGTTTTGTTTTGTTTTGCTTATTAGTTTGTTTTTGGGACACAAATTGTCTTGTATTGACATGTTTTCTGGTCCTGACTGTGCCACTGCTTAAGGATGTACTCTGGTGGCAGTCAGTTTACATCTTCCTGCTGCAATCTCGCTCCCTCCACCATCTTCTTACAATTTAGATTGCAAATCCGTCAATATGGAAACGTTCTGTGAAATAGGAACTTTGCTCAGCATTGGATATTCTGAAAACAAGCTTGCTGCTCAACTCCTTATAATTTCATTCTGGTGTAGTGTTCTACAGGTATGGAGCTTCATGTTTCTTGCTATGCCCTTAGAACAAATCTTTCACTGAATGGTGGAAATAAGGAGGCACTGGTTTCAATGACCTACTTGGAAAAAAGAAGGTGGGAGCTCCTGTTTGCATTTGTTTATGCCCACCATTAGGCTACAAGCTCTGAATTTTTTGTGAGTTTATAACATCTCTTTCCTGTGTAGACTGCAGATATAGACTTCGGGATATGATTTAGTGGGTATTATTGGTGGTAAGTGGATGACTGGACTAGATGATCTTGGAGGTCTTTTCCAACCTTAATGATTCTATGATTCTATGGTTACCAAGCATTTGATTCATCATGAATTCAGATTGAAGAGACTTATTTTCATTAAACTTTAAAGGCTTTCATATCTTCAAGTTTTCTGCCTATATAATGAAGCAGATTGATACTGTCAAAGCAAGGGAAAAACAGATCAGCAGAGAACACACAGCATGAAAGCATTAGCTTTGCTTCCTTGTGAAGTCATAAAAATACCTGCCAATCCTGCTCAGAGACATTGAATTCTTGGCCTATGCCCATCCCATTCCTCTTATCTTTTGTACTTTTCTGGATTTAAAACAATATGGCTTAATAATCATGTACTGAAGAGGTCTGGAAAAGTCCAGTACCCTGGGCACAAGGAGTTAACATGTTTAATAATCCACTCAGGTTGATAACTTCAGTATTTCAGATGTATGGTAGAAGGTGCCTACTTCCCAGTTGGAGAATACATTAGCTGTTACCATGGCTTGAGATCAAACAGACTTAAAACAATGCAAATGCAGTGTACAGAAAGTAATACTTTCCTATTTAGATTGTTTCACTCCCAATACATAAAGGTCTTGGATGCTGTGGGAATATTTGCTGAGATTCTTTTGAGGACCAATTTGCAAGTCAGTGGGGATGCTGGTGATGAACTCCTGTATCTTTTTCCTTTCTGACACCTAGAGCACAGGTCTGTCTAGTATAATGTAATTTTAGTGTCAAGAATTTGCAATGAATCAAGAGGTTGGAATAGATTCTTAATTACTAAAATGTAAAGACTGAGTTATCTGACCATAATATTATGAAAAAACAAAGACTAAGATAGAGATACACAAAGAAAGATGTGGAGAATAAATAGATGAACATGCACAAATGTATATTTTTATATAGATCAGAGCACAACATTTTAGGACAGCAGGAATGTGATTGTGGAGTGTGAGGACTCTGTTACATTTAAAGTCATTATGATAATGTATCTTTTATTCACATAAAGATTCAGTAATCTGATCATCTTCTATTGAAAACATTGATTTTTAGCTGGATTTATACTTTACTGTACAGAGGATTTAGGGAAAATGTTGGCTAAAATTAATATGAAAATAAAATATCAAATATCCCTGTTTATTGTAGGTGCTAATTGATATTTGATTCACCACCTGACTTAGTTTTTTGGTTTTGTTTTTTTTTTTTTTTTTTTTTTGTAATACTACAACCAACACGTCTCCAGTAGGAATAAGCAGGGTAGAATTCTTTGGAGATAGCTGAGCTGTGAATGTCAGGTGAGGCTGGCTTTGATGTTCTACTTTTTTACCTGAGTTCACTACCATGTTCCACTGAATAAAATTTAAATATTTTTCTACTGAATTCAAGTAAGGTATGGAGGTTTCTGAGCTTAGTTGTACATCCTGTCCCAAAGCAGTGAGGGTGGATGGTTGTTGCATGTTGACTCACCAGCCACTCAAGACATATGTAAGGACAGTGTTTCTTTCAAGTGTGATCATGATGGCAGGATAGGATTATAGGGAAAAAGATCAAGAAAAAATTGTATATACATGAATAACTTATATATGTTTCTTCTGTGATTTATTATTTCTGTATTTCACATAGCTAAAAACAGATGTCAGTGGTCATCCACAGTGGCCTCAGTTTGTACCACCTGTGGAGCAGCTAAGAAGGAGCAATTAACTTGTATAATTCCTCAGATATACTTAGAAAAATGCCTTCATGGGATCCAAATGACCCTCTTATCACCATCATTAATAATGTTTATAGTATTGTTCTATATTCATCTTTTTATGTTTGAGACCCAATTATTCTGTGCAATATTTCATCGCACAAAGCAGAGAGAAACTTTAATCCAGGCACCTCTTGAAATCAGTGGCTCTTTTCACATATTGCGTACTCAGGGGCACTTCTTCTTACTTCCCTTTACAACTCTGTTACCAACCTCTTTTGCAAATGTAATTGTTGAGTGACTACTCAAGGGGATTAAATCTTGTGTATACCTTAAATCCTCTTCTGGCATACTGCACAGAGACCTACAGTCCACAGAGATGATTTTGGAATGACAGAAATATTTTTATCTTATGAAGAATAGCTTTGTATTTCCATTGATCAAAAAACGTTTATGGGCAGAGTTATTAAAATAAATTTAAAAGTCTGTATTCCAAGCCTACTATTCAGTTTTTTGAAGTCTGAATTATCTTCCCATGAAATTTAGATAGAGAATCTAAGTCTCTTTTGTTCCCATTCAAACACTGGAACATCGGAGATATTATTTCCATTCATGCTCCCAAGTGAATAATCCACTCTAAAGCAACGTGTTTGCTCTAAACCTGAAATCAAAGAAAGGAACTGTCTTTTTATAAGACAACTCCAGCTGTGTAATGTAGCAGCCAAATATCATTAGATGTGCTCTGTTTGCCCATCCCATTAATTACAGATGACAGAGAAGAACGTTATGTCCTTAGCTAATGGTTAGGACCTAATATTGGACTGAGATTTACACCCCAGTGGCACTCTGCTTGAGAGCTTTTGCAGTACAACTTTTCTCAGCCTTAAGTGGAATGCATCACTACAGAGATACCTTACTTGGCTATACAAGTAGACAGTATGATTGTACAGATAGGACAGAGCTGAACTAACTAAACAGAGGATTCTGTTATAATTTGAGGCACTTAGGTGTATCCATTTCGGCCTTTGACTTTACACGTTGGATATCCTTGGCTATTCAACACATGGGCCACAGGACCTGTGGGAAACCTATACCACTGTGGACTGAAAGGTAGAAGTGGGAATGATTCCCTTAAAACATTTATAGTGACACCACTAGATACTTTTGTAGGCCACTGAACTTTATCCATGAAGACTGTGTAGGTCACTGTTTCTGTATCTGGATCCAAAGCTAAAATTCTCCAGTGTGTGACAGCTGACTTTTGCTCAGTTTTATAAAAAAATATTTCTCCAGCTTGTGATTTGAACATCTTGGTAGGAGAAATGTGTATCCTTGTTTTCTGGCACACACAGATAGTCAGATAAATCCCAGGCATAATGTCACCAGCATAAATTTTTGTTTTTTGGCTTTTTTTCCCCCAGTTTTTAGGATACTAGGGCAATAAGGTGAACGAGACTGAACATGTTCAACCTATACTATAACAATATCATAGACACATGGAATCATTAAGGTTGGAAAAGACCATCTAGTCTCAACACCAATCCATCACCAATCCATGTGCACTAACCTTGCCCCTCAGAGCCACATCTACCTTTTTTTGAACATCTCCAGGGATGGTGACACCACCACCTCCCTGGGCATCATGTTCTAATGCATTACCACTCTTTCTGAGAAGAAATTTTCCCTAATATCCATTATGTTGTGGCCCTTTGATACTTGACAAGAGTACAGGTCAACAGGTGATTCTTCAACTGAAGCTGAAGAGCGTTGAGAGAAACAGATGCTCACTTAGAGAGCAACAGATTATGAAGCTATAGGATTTGCCTACAAAAATTTTTTGGAATACAAGTGAAATCCTAATGTATCAGTAGTTCATGTACTGAGATGATTAGCATGGCATAAAATTTGAACTTCAACAGAACAAAACATAACTTTGCATGAATCACAGAAATTTGCAATCGCTTACAAGGAAAACACATCTCAAGCTGCATTACAAAAATATCATTTGCAATAAGAAGTACCTGATGATTCTGGCTACTGGTTATTCTAGATGCACTGCTGTATACCAATCTACCTTATTTGTCTAAACTGAATAAATATTATTCTCTGAATCTCCTGACATTTTTATTGTGTACTCAGTGTTGTGCTAACAAATACTTATTTTATTCATTTTTACCCCCCAACATAGAAATATCAGTATATGGCAATTAGCTTCTTAGATGAGGGGTGCATATGTATTTTTTCTCTTTTTCTGCTGTAGAAAGATTTTTCTTGTTTTCCTTGCATGAAGGTTGCAGTTATAACTTAGCTCTTTTATGCCAGTTCTGGCACTTCTAATGTGTGTCCCCTGGATTTATGCGGATCTAAATGAACAACTGCACTGAAGCATCTCATAAGTGCTCATATTTTCATTTCAGATTTACTACTAGTAATTACATGCTGTGCATATAGCAGAGGATCTAAAATCAATTGTGCACTTTACATTTTACTGGGTCCTTATTAATTTCAATATCTATCTCAATTTAATTGGTAATCCATGCATAAATAAATGTAGCTTTTTTCAAGATGCACTGACAATCCATTAATGACATTTATGAATACTTTTTAAATGACTGGTGATGCTGTGATCTGAAAGAAATAAGGAAATATGGAATGATTGATGAGGCACTCCATCTTCTCCTTGGAGAACTGACCTGTTACCTAAATTTGTTACTTCCACTTTTTTGCATTACAAGACCCAGAGCAAAACATTCTTGAAATGTACAAATGATGTCACAACTTATAAAACAGTGCTATCATAGTAAGAGCACAGCCTTCTTTGACAGCTAATCCTCTCCTTTATTTTTCCCTTACCATGGTTGAAGACTTTTATTTGTGAGGTTGATGCAACCCCAGGTTGATGATTGCTCAAGGTCCTGCGTCATGAGTATGATGTTTTTTACTGCATGACCAGATTGTCTCCATGGCAGTGGCTGAGGGATGTCTGGGGAATATCAGACAGACAATCATATGCATTGTGCTTGATTTGTAAGGTGTTCAAAGCTTGGACTGACTTTCCTCTGAATCTGTGCAAAGCTTAATATGATGCTAATATCAGCTGTTAGCAGTAGATAGGAACAATTCTCATTTCATTGCTTCACTGCTGTTTTGG